CACATGGATTTCCCAAAGCATTAAAATTCCAGTTCAGTTGATAACTCACAGTATGATCAGGGCACTATGATCCTAACCACTTTTTCTCCTCTTCATTTCACTTACAAAAATGAAGAAACTGAGACCACTAACTTGACAGAAATGTTTTAAAAAGGAAAATTGTAAGTCACTCATAATGCATTTTATCCAATTCTCCAACAGTTCTTACACTGCCTTAAGGTGACAGATAACCATTTAATTAATTAACTATCATGTAATTGATTCCTAAGGTTTATAGAATTGTTTCATTGTCCCTCTTCATGTTCAATATTATCTCTGCAGACACTCAGATGTCTTGGAGCAGATCCAGATTTAAATCCAGGCTGTGCTATTTATTACTCAACCTCTCTGATCTCAATTACTACATATGAAAAATAATCTCTTATTTCATGAAAATAAATGAAATAATATATTAAAATGGCTAACATCTACATTACAGGTAATTTGAGTGAGTGAGTAAGTGAATGAATGAATGAATGAATGAACAAAGCAAGCAAGCAGAATAGAGTCTCAATGTTAAAATATCACTCAAGAGTTTGAAACAAATAGAAATCCAGAGTCATGTTCATAAGTACGGTGGATGCCAAGAGCAGACAAATAGGTGAACCGTGGGAAAAATCCCACAGCAACGGGAGATGTACGCTCCCCAAATGTCACCTCTGACTTCCTGTACTAAACTTACCTTTGACTTAACCTAGAACCTATGTCTGGCCTTCAGATGGACTACACAACTAAAATGTTAAACAATATTCTGTGTATATGTGCATTTTCCAACTATTTCATAGATTCATATCCGAGTCTCCAAACATTCCATAATCCTCTCCCCTATTTCCAAACACACACATTCTCACACGTGTGCACACTCACGTGCAAATTAAGAACAACAGTTTTGGGTAAGTCTCCTGACAGAAAGGGACCTGTTAACTGAGAAAGAAAAAGTTTATCTAATAAAACAAAACTGAGAAATGCAGGCACACACATTAGAAAGTATGAGCAGTGGAAGTTATCACAATGATAACTTCCAAACCGGAGTAAAAGGGTCTGAATTCAAGACCAGACTCAGTTGCAAACTTGCTATGGGACCTTGGGCAAATCAGAGACTCGTGAAAATAAGGGTGGGAAGAAATTTTACTCTCTACTGTTCCACTCTCCTCTTCCTCCTATCTCATATATGGAGAAACTGAGGTTCAAAGGAAGATCACCCCTTCATCAAAATCATATCAAATTAATTAGAGGCAGAATTTGAACCTCAGACTCAGTAAAATAATTTCCAGGATCTGTATCTCAATATTAGGAAGACTGTGATTAGTGTTTACATCCAGTGGCCCCTAAGTTATCTTCTAACTAATGGATAATTACAACTGTCTTGTCTGGACTTGGAAATGTCATGAAAACATGAGTTTGGTTTTGGCAAAGATCATTCCAGCCACTTCTCAATCCCTGCCCAGCCCCAAAAGAACAAGGCAAAAAGACCAAAATAATGAGAGATGCTGCTAGCAACTCGAAATTGCAGGTCTTGAACTAGATTTCACTGGATTGGCTCTTATTTTCCTGTCCTCTTGCTTATCAACCCTCCATCTGTCTTCCCTTTATCGATGTTCCCAACTACGCACACAGCCAGCTAGGAGTTCATCCTCAGCTTCCTATCATTTATTGGATTAGAAAAGGGAAGAAAACCAGAAGATGGGTGGAGGAAACAGTGGTGATGTCAGGGTCAAATAATCTCTCACAGAAAAGACTGCAGGGGAATTCATATTCTCCTAGTAAACACAGAGAGCAGAAGCCAGCCAGAGCCCTCTGTTTCACTGCCCCCAAGGGATTAATGAAGATGCTTAGAATCCATTTATGTTTTAAGGGCATCTCATATCCTGCCGTTGACACTGGTTTAGCTTAAAAGACAATGGCCCTTTATTTATTGGATTGTAAAGGAACAGTTTATAGAAAAGATTCTCTTCTAAAATAGAGATATAATTATAAAGTCAGAAGAAAGAATTCTAGTTCAGGATTTGCTACTAATACCTTGGACAAATTGGACTCCCTCCCTGACCCCAATATCTTTATCTCTGAAATGACAGAATTGGGCTAGATTGATTCCTAAAGTCCTCTCTGGCTCTGATATTCTCACCTCTTCTCACAGTTCAATGAGTCAACCTGGAAAAGTCAAACAACAGAACAAAGAACCAATTGATGCTACCAGTGGATAAGTTCACCGGATGCTCTAAGAATAAGACAAGATCATGGAATTGAGAAACATGGAAATATTTTTTCCTTTCTAACCAGAAACTAGATGTCACTGGAGGTAGTGAACAACCATAACATAAATGCCCAATCAGAGTTTATAATTCAAATCCCTAATTGCTCTTCCAGTATATAACAGAATCAAAAGCTAAATACAAGAATAACTGTTTTCATACCAGCTCTCTAGTAGAGTCCTAGGATTTTCCTATGACCTTGGACAAGTGACAGCAAGAGGAAAAAGGGACAGGGGTATGAAAGAAAATCACAGATAAGAGGGCATTTGACTAGAAGTAATTGATCAATACCACGATCAACTGGTCTGACTCCATCTGTTATGAGATGCTGAAGTGCAGCTTGGAGAAAGTAACTTGCTCAAGGTGATACAGCCTGAGATGGGATTAGAATTAGATTTTCATGACTTCTGGTTGACATGTCCTGACATAAAATATACTGCTTCACTCCGCAAAGTAATGATAGCCTATCTAGGTAGCTAAAATATTAATAATATTAATAATAATAATTTAATTTAAAACTACTACCTCTACCTCCACCTCAGAAAACAATAACTGATTAATTTGATTTAAGGCAGTCTAGGGTTATTCCATCAACTTGTAATAAACAAGTCACTCTAGCAATATAGACAAGTTCATGAGAATTAATTGGGTATTATTCATCCTTGCTAATGAATCACACTGTTGAAAACAGGAATAATCAACAGTCTACAGAAGGCCAGAACCTGTTCCTGTTCAAGTACAGAGCTTGCCTATTAAAGAACATTGGGTATCAGCTCTAAATAGTAAACAGGGTATACCGTTTCAGATTCCATGAAGTGCAGCTTTAAATAGACTTGGTTTGGAAATGGGACAGAGAACACACCATAGTCAGTGGATCAACGTTAAGAGCAGAGAAAAACAATGATTATACTCATTAAGTGGGTGCCTGTTGACACATCTACTGTGAAGTCTAATTATTTATTTAAACTGTTATTTTTCTTCATTACTGCCACTGATACCAATTATTACCACAAGATTATTTTAAATTCTGCAGCATGCCCCCAGAATATTTACTTCTCCACCCTCCAAAGGTCATTTGAGAAGTCTTTATCCTTCTCTCTCCACCAGCTCCCACCTCCAAAATATGGAGGGCATACAGAAAGAGAGAGAGAGAGAGAAAGAAAGAAAATCCTCTTTCTCATGAATGATTTTTCATGATTTTACCAAGCTTGATTAAAGCTCTCTTTGTAGTTCCAAGATGGGTTTCTGTGCAAAAGGAAGGAGGGAGCACAGTTAACCACTTTTCAAAGCTTATTCTATTAATACATAACAATTTAAGCATTTGAAGAAAAGTTAATATAGTAATTACAATTTCTAAATGAACAAGTCAGTTCTCTGCCTAACAAAGCTATCAAAAACTTATATGTCTATAGTACATTCTTTTCTGATATATTTATTTATGGAAGTACATGAAATACATGAGGAAGATTTTTTTCAAGGGCACTTTATGGACGACACAGGGACCAAATGATGGGCAGGATCCATTCCTGTATTTTTAGTCACTACGTTTCTTGTAACTACTTTTTGTTGTCATGAGAATAAAATCTAACCAACACAAGAACTACCACAACTACTCTAATTATGGAGGAGATTTGCTGTCCATATATTGCCCACCTCATTTGCACATGACGTGTTTTTTAGTCCATGCATGTAGTGAATAGCAGCTTTGAGAACTATTATTAACATAACGGCATAATTTCTGCTTAATTCTAAATCATTAACTCCTACAAATACAGGGCAGTACCAAGAAATTTCAATTATTTTCAAGGTCTAGGTAACTAAAATCATGTTTACAAGCTCAAGATGATGAAAATAATATACCAAATGAATTATCAAAATATTCAGCCAAACAAATGGTTACAGTATTTTTATGTTGCTCTCAGATCTTCCACAGAGATGCTTTTCTACAAATCCTGTACCAAACACTTCTAAAGGATAACAAAGAATACAGCAGAGCAAAATTGGAAATGCAGATACCAACTGGTTAGTAAGCAAAAACTCACATTTTGTAAAGTTTACAGCTATGGTGATTTTTTCCATTTTGGGGGGACCTCCATTTTCTTGATAAACTCAAGAAGAGGGCATTCCTCTGGGAAAGGCCCATCTTCCTCACCCAGGTCCCCCTGGAGAGCACGTATGGGCCCTGGGTTTCGAAAGTCTCTAACTCATTTGCTTAGGAATTTGTTGTTGTTGTGGGAGCCTTGGATTATTTTTCTTTTTGAGGTTTTTGGTGGGGGGCAGCTAAAAGATGGTGCTGGATCTAAGTAGGAGAGTCTGGCTCAGTCAGAGCTGGAAACACTGGCAGCACAGTGTCGTGAAAAATGCACTCGAGAGAAAGGCGTCCTGGCACGTGCTATCAGAGAACACGAGCAGACAATAGGTAAGAGCATTCTAGTACATGGCATGTTGTAGACAAATACCTATGAAATCTGAATCTGCATAGCTTATGTTTTTGAACTTCTGGTATTCAATCTTAAGGGCTAAAAATTGAAAGAGACAATTAAATAAAAAAACATAAAAGGAAGGGAATTCATTTTCTTGGCCATTTTTCAGTTTTGGTGCTCATGAAAGACCCTTGTGTTTCTTCTGGTGGGAGTGAAATCAACCTTAGACACCACTGGCTAAGATTCCTATTAGCATTTCCCAAGTGTGAAGACAGTCCTCTCTTACCTCAGATAATAGCTCTGGGAGTGGTCAGAGGACACAAGGTTCAGCAAACGGCAACAGTAGTGTCTGGAAATGAAAATTAGGTAAAAGTTACTCTTAGACACTAAGCTGTGTGTATTTATAAATCATCATCAACTCATAACTACATAGTGGTCTCTTATTTTGCAAAACATGTTCACATTCATTATCTCATTATCACCCACACCAACCCAATGAAGAAGCAGGAAAAGATTATTTTACTGACTTCGTAGGTGAGGAAACAGAAACTTACAGAGGAACAGAGAGGATGAGAAGGGAACAAACATCTGTCTCATAATGACCTTCACAAATACCATGTGATATGGGTATCACTGTCCTCCTCTTACAGATGTGGAAGCTGAAGTGCAGAAAAGGCAGGTAACTTGCCAAGACCACACAGTGCGGCACACGTCAGTCAGTTGGGACCCTCTGGCCTAGTAGTCTTTCCTTTTTACCTCGGTTTCTCCTAAGACATTAAGGTTGGGAAAACAAACAGCTCATTGACTGGGTCCACTTGGGTTGGTACAAGGAGGAATGATAAAGTAAAACTACCTATTGACTGATGTGAGGAAAGAGGCACACACAGGGTTTAGAGCTGGTTGGACTTGTCTTCCTCTCACAGATAACCTTAGGCAAGACACTTAAACTTATCCGAGTGTCAATTTCCTTATATGTAAATGAAGATTATAATATCTACTTCATAGCCAAAGTTCACATAAACATTATGTGTAAGAATTTCCTCCATTATTTCATCATAATAGATGTAGATAGTAGTGGTATACACAACTATATTTCTTCGTATGAGCCTATGTTTATATGATCAAAAAATGATATTATAAGTATACAGTGCCAGAGAACATCTCTGGACTGAGTAGTCTGTGCTTCTAGCTTTAAAGTACAATAATATTTGTCCATATCAGTCTCAGATGGCCTCACCTAACACATCACAAAGAACTTTTGTTCCAAAAGGCAAAGCCTCAAAATTAAAAATCAAGTGATTTCTCAACCCCCTAAAGCAAGAGCTACTGCTTTAAGATGAAGACCGGGTATATCTGAAGTCCTTTTAAAGTGTCTGCTTGTATCATGCTTCAGGTTCAGAAAGATGTGCTTCCAAGAACACTGCAACAAAAGCATTTGTTTTAAACAATGGACAGATTTACTGAGAAGTATAAGACCTTGGGAAGTTTTTGTAATATATCTCATTTTCATAGAAGACTCAAATCAGATGAAGAAGTGAACATGGTTGATACAGGATGCCCTATAAGCAGTTCTCATCATATGCCACCAAAATTAAAACATTAATCATCTTTTTGCCTTACACTTCATACTGTGGAAAATTATTGCATGACCATTTTATGTCATAGCATCCTCATTATAACCACAATGAGATTTTTTTTGCTCCAATCTAACCAATAAGGGAACCAAACAAAGAGCACACATTTAATATGAAACACATAAAAACTTAACCTTGTACCTTGACACCAAAACCAGCAAGGACCCTCCTACTCATAATGCAGCCCCCAATTTGAGAATGCTCTATTTGGAGGGAAAGGAAAAATGAGTATACACCATGCAAAAGTCAATTGTCGAGGCACCAAAACATTAATATTCAGTACTGCTTCATTGGCAAGTGAAAGGAGAAAGAGAAGACTTCATATCTGTGGTCTAACCAGAAGGTAACACATTACTAAGCTGGCTGATGCAGAAGCAGTGTCGATGCAGGCTTACCATAAACACTTTCTCAGTTGTCCCCAGCAAAGTTTCAAAGATGCAACATCCTTGTGCAAGCCCTCAAAACATAAGCCACAGAAACAACAGAAGTTGACACCATTTAATTTTTGTGAGGGGACCTTCATCAGTAATTCTCGTCTTACGCAGTAGAAAAGCTGAAGCCTTCCAGCTAAGCTCACCAGTCTTCTTCACTTGATTTTAATGTCATGTGTTCTCAGGAACTCCAGAGTATTTCCTAATGGAATGGAGTTCCCCACTAGACCCAGAAAGACATCTGGGACAATGGACAAATCCCATTTTAGTGTCTTGGTAATGAAGCCAGTTATCCTTGGCTACCTCTGTGTATTTTACAACTGCTGAACCAGAACGTGGCATGTTTGCACCAGTTCTCAAACCACCCATCCCATCCTCTCCGGAAGCAACTTCAACCAAAATTTAAAAAAAAAAACAAAAAACCTGTACAATCAACCTCTAACTTACAAAACTTCAACCTATTAGTTAGAATCTAAGCAAAAGCAAGACTTACCAAACTTGGTTGGTACTAACATAGAATAACAGACAATTTCTACTACATTTTGGAGAAAACAGGAGGAAAAATTAAATTGGGAAAAAATGAGAGTGGAAAAATGATGGAGAGTAAAGGAAAAAAGCAGAAAAGAGTAGAAGGACATGAGAAATGATAAGCACAGAAAGACCTGTTTCAACAAGTTTTAGACAAGCCATGGTATCTGTTGAATCGATCACTTAAGCGATATTACACTAGGATGATGATTCTAACATTATGAATAAAAATTCCAACCATCCAGCATTAGATTTGCTGAGACCAATGTAAACATGCCTCTTAATACTTAATATGAGTGCTATATCTTATTTAAAAATATGATAGAACTTGTTAAAACTCCCATGAATGGGTAGCTCTTCAGCCCTACAGACCCCAAAGTTCTTTCTGAATTAAGTGGAGTTATCTTGAAAAGAGCACCTGTATGTGGATTGAGGACCTGGGTTCTGTTCTTAGCCCTCTAATTCCCAAATCTTTTGAAACAAAACATGCATGAAATCTGCATTTTTCTGTTTCTTTTTTCACAGATTGTCACCATGATTATCTCTAACCCACTCTTACAAAGCCAGAAATTATTTTGTCTATACTTTGTTCATTTTGATAAGTTTTATGTGGTGGTAAAGTTGGTAGGAAAAGGATTACTTAACACTAAGATTTTTAAAAATTAAACAATGTCATAATCTAAAGCATGATTATTAGGGCATCTGTCCCAAAAGCAACTGAAGTATTAGATTATGCCAAAGGCATTAGATGACAGACATGGAAAGGTCCTCATTGCCATCATCCAATCCTTTATGAAGAACATTTTTAAATGCACTCTCTCACCTGCCACCCCAAGACACTTATCATGAATACAACATACTCCATGGCTTGTGAATGATTTGGTTGTCTCATTAAAGTAATGTTTGCCAGTATTTAATTGCTTCCCTCCCTGATTTTAATTTCCTCACCTGTCAGCATCTATCAGAGACACTGAGATCTTCTGACATCCTGGCTGATTGTGTTGAAATTAATCAGATTTTTGAAAAGTAAATTGCTTTGGCCTAAAAGTAATGCTCAACTTCTTCATGTGATATTTATAAGAGTTCTATCGAAAGAACTTATAATCTAGGAATTAAACAAGATGTTTCAGGAATCCTAAGCAAAAATATCATTAGTACTTTAAAAAAATAAATCAACAAGAGCTTATTGAACATATAGCACTTGCCAGCAATCATTCCGGGGTAAACAGAAGAGAGGAAACAGGAAGCTAAGTCAGAAAGTTTGGAGAAACGGATAATTAATTAAGAGGAATTCACCTTGGCTTAAGTAGCTGACAATCTGGTCACTCAAAGGGTGCATTAGGTATTTACAATTTGTGACCAGTTGCACACACTATGTCACACGCAGATTAATTATTTTACTCTTCACCTCAATCCAGTACAGTAAAATTGGTGCTGTTGTTAGTAGTAGCAGCAATATTCTCTTTTGACAAGTGACAGAGGTGACCCACAGAGTGGGGAAAAAAACTCTTTCCTCAATACCTGCTTTTGGACAGACCTGGTCTTGTGATCTAAATAAAATCAGAAAATGCAGCATGATTACTTAGGAATAAAGACAGAAAAAAATTTTTTTTGCTAATCCTCCATACACAATTATTTAGCACTAATTCTTGTGCTAATATCTGTCAGTAAGAGCGCTTCACACACTCGGGAAACCCACAAGCACCACCTTGTTCTATAAGAAGTAACTAAAATGGTGGATGAAAAAGGACTCTGTAATATGTCAAGAGCTCATCTGTGTGTATATATGTTATTGTTTCTACTTTGGAAATACAGATGTATGCGTTCATGCAGTAATCACGTCCCCAAAGTGAGTCTGTAACATCATCACATCTATTTTTCAGTTATTCTGAGGATGTAAAAGACCCCTACGTGAAACAGAAAAAATTAAAAACAATGCATGCATGAAATTGCGAGGTATATGGGGGCGGGGTGCTCAAGGTAACACGTGGAACTTAGAGGTTGGTTTTCACAAAAATGGGTTTATAACTAAATGTAACCTAACCCTAGTATGGGTCATATTTTTCTAGTGGACTTGAGACCCTATTTAAAGAGTAAGCATCTCCCTTGCTATGAAGATTTTCCTGATCTACAAAGGTCTGATGAAGCGGTCTTTCTGAAGACTCCCGCAAGGCCTGTTTCCATATCCAGATCACTAAAATCATCACACTGTCTTACACTTTCATTTGTACATGCTGAAGAGAGAAAGACTGTCTAACTCAGTTTCTTATATCCAAACACCCAATCCAGAATATGGTCATTAACAGTTGCTCAAGAAAAAGGCAGTTGAATGAATGAATATAGATGAAGAAAAAAGCATTCTGTGCAATTCCTATAGCATCTAGATCAATGTGTCAGCAACAGCAAACTGAAAATGGCCCCAGGTGTTAGACCAGTAGAGTCAGACCATACTTTGGTTCAGCAACCACAGTACTTGAGTTCTGGCAAAGAAAGAAATCAGAACCAAAATTCAAATTGTACCAGAAAGTTTATTTGGAAAGTCACAGAGGTAGAAGAAGTGAGCTATACAAGAAATGGGCTCAGGAACACAAGTTACATAAGCAAAGGAAGGGCCCTTGGAGTTTAGGGGGAAGTGAGAGGCAAGGAAAATATGCCTGCGGAAAAGGAATGCAAAAAGGCTTGAGGGTGTTCCAGAGTTAGGGGGAGAAAGTGGGAGGGAGAGTGGGAGAGAGAATGAGGGAGAGAGACAGACAGAG